CTGACTGAAGTATAATCAAAATATTGTTCCATTTAACCACATTTTCTTAGAAATTCAAAACTGCAGCTGAATTGTTGTAGCCGAAGGGAACGCAGCTTATTCGACTCGCTCCAACAAAGGCTCAGTAAGACTGAATTTAGGAACAAAGTCACATCAGGGAAACGAGTAATTTGTCTCTAAAATAACACGCAATCTCACAGAACACACTCGCTGAACACTGTGTCATGGTTAGAGGATGTTTGACAGTGCTGCCTCACCTCCAGCAGCCGGTCTCCAGCTTTAAGTCGGCCGTCTTGGATGGCGGCGCCTTGAGGAAGGATGTTTTTAACGTAAATTGGAGCGCTGCCGCCAATCGGGACATCTCTGGATGTGATGCTGAATCCGAGACCCTCTGGACCTAGTTAACAATTGAAGACACTTAGAAAGGTATTGTGACATTTTACAAAGCACAGCTCATCACTTGTTCTTTTCTTTCCTGCTGCAAACATGCCATGCTGTGATGCTGTCATTTGGTAAGCTTGCCAGCAGTGTGCTCATGATCGGCAGTAAACTGAAAAACAGTTCGTCTGTCTGTTGTCATTTTCTATTATCCTTAAAACAGACTGCTCAATAAAATTTAAAGGAACCCTTTCTAATCAGAGCAAAGCACCAAGTCAGTTAAACTTGAGGGATATTGATTTGATCAGTTAAGTAGCAGAGGCGGTTGTTATTCGGCAATGAGACATCCCCCAAAACAAGAATGGTTTGCAGGTGGAGGCCACTCACGTTTCCCTCCTCATTAGTTTTGCATTTGGCTAAACTCAGAGTCAGTGTCACTACTGGCGGCATGACGTGATAGCTGGACCCCGTGGAGGTTGCACAGGTAGTCCAACTTCTCCAGGATGGCACATCAATGTGTGCCATTGCCAGAATTTTTGGTCACGTCAACATTGTCAGGCATATATGTAAAAACACGGGGGCCACACAAACTACTGAGTACCTTCTTGAATTGCTACGATCAAATTTCAGTAAAATGGTCAAGACCAGTGGTCTCCAACCTTTTTTGCGCCACGGACCGATTTATGTCCGACAATATTTTCACGAACCGGCCTTTAAGGTGTTGCGGATAAATACAACAAAATAAAACCAGTACAGGTACCAAACAATAGATTTATTCATAACACACGGGAAAAGACCCAGGAAAACCAAGTTAATGATAAAAACGATTAAAAAAATAACAACAAAAACCCTGAAAACCATAAATTTCACACCCGAGCCTCAACTGCGGCCCGGTACCGTTTTTTTAAACTTTGATTTTAATTTTATTTCCATCAAGCAATGCGGCATCCAATCGTTCCTAACACATTACCCTGTCCAAATCAGCATGGACATCAAGCATGATTTTTTTTCTTTCTCTTTGAGTTCTGATGTGTTTTAAACATTTAATTTTTTCGAGCTGTGAATAACACTGATATTAAAGATCTGAAGCACAAATAATGCAAATGTTTGTGTTTAGTGAAGAATCCCAGAAACTCTGAACAAGCTTTAAATGTCACTAAGGAGCAATTTATTTATGACAGCGACATTTTCAATTTCTGGGTTTCATTTTATGGTAAATGGACTGATTCTTATATAGCGCTTTTCTACTCTCCCGGAGTACTCAAAGCGCTCTATACAACACGCCACATTCACCCAGTCACACAAGCACTACCTCTTTACTGAGTGCTTTCTAACTACACTCACAAACATTCAAACTCCGATGGATGCATCGGAGAGCAACTTGGGGTTAGTATCTTGCCCAAGGATACTTGGCATGCAGACTGGAGGCGCCTGGGATCGACCCTCCAACCTTCCGATCAGTAGGTGACCTGCTCTACCTCCTGAGCTACAGCCACCCCAAGTACAGAAACATACAAAGTGTATTCTGTGTATAAATACTGCTAAGGGCATATAACTTTTCCCCCCATCATTAAAAAAAGTTACTTTTAATCCACTAAGCAGGAATCAAATGATGGCCTTCCACCATGTCCTGAACCTCCACGAGGTAATACAGACATTCCTGCTTCCATGCTGGCATTTTTTCATATTTCCATGATTGGGTGTGTCTTGAACTCTAAACATAGCATCAGTGCTATGAACCAAAATTGAGTGTTTTAAATGAATGTGAATGGACTTTAAAGCCAATCGTGGAAGTCGCGGTCAGATTAAAGACCAGTTAAGAATAAGCAGAGACAAATGAATGATTATGGATTGGGAAATGCATTAAAACTCTGTTCAATATCCTCTTAAACTTAAGTGCAGGACACCTAAATAGTTGCTTGCAATAAGTGCTTATTTCTGAATCTTCCCACACTGCACCGTGTGCCAGATTTTAACCCAAAAAAACCCTCCAGAGTTTTGGTGCAAAGGCAGGCCACAAAGGCTGTGTAAAAATCATGTCTGGGTCAAAGCAGTCTTGGATGATATATAGGGAGCTTGAGGTTAGCCTAATGGAGAAAGCAGTGATCACTGTGTGTGCACTCAAATTTGTTTCTTAGCTGTATATTTAAAGGAAAATCCTCTGTCTCTTCCAAGTGCAGTGAAATTCAACAACCACATGTGATAAAAACACTTTGGGCATCAGCTATGCAAAGCCATTTGCTTTAAGTTTAAGGGTTGACCTTTAAGGTTGCTCAAACGAATATGAATTGATAGTCTAAGAGGAATCAGGCAAATACAATAACAGGTAAATAAGAAGATCTCTCCGCTCTAACCTTTTCTGCTGACCAGAGCCGTATTTTTCAGATAAAAGCATGACGTAGTTCAAATGTCAGCTACATGTGGTAAACCGTGCAAATGCTGCTTGTCAGATTAAACTAGATGAGTCATTAAGAACGTCTTTCAGAGCGGCGGTTAAGATTCCACCATGCATAACCTAGCTGTAGGCATTTCCAAGTTGGAAAGTAGCGTTCTGCGGCTTTAGCTTTTCTGACGCTAACAGCGGTGATTAGTATTCGTGTCAAAGTAGCTGCTCATTTCACAGAGCTGTCAGCACCTCCGATGGTTCATCATGACCTACTTTTCCCTGTATGTCTATTTAGCAGTCTGTCGTCTCCCTGACAGTGATGCGGCTGATGAACAAGGGGCATTAAGAGCGAGGAGCGCGGCTGGCAACTTTCTCCGGCTTCCACGCACAAATAAACTTGCAGAAAGGTGATGAAGAGATCACTTTGAAGCCAGAAAGTTGAGCTGCTGAGGATAACGACGTTCTATGATCTGTCCATCACTGCTGAGCGAGAAGTGAGCACACAAAAATAGCTGCCATCGTTTATGTTGAATATTAAATGCGCAATTTGACTGCCAAACTTTTAAATACCAGATCCCACAGTTGCCGTGGGAGGTTCTCCAATTAGTGCAGATGCTAGTCTGTCCTCAAACGACTGAAAATAAGAGGGGTAAACAAATGCAGATGGCATTTAACACAGATGTATCACAGCTTTTTGATTATATCCTGCCCCTTTTTCAAATCCTCGCCATGGCGGTTGGGATTCCCCTTCCCCTCTGACCCTTTTCACAAACTGCCGCACAACACGCATCCCAAACCCAACTCCGGCCCATTATAAGATCCCGCTGTTCAAAGTCTACAATCAGCCAATTAGGAGAATACAATCTCTAAATATTCCTGCGCTAATTAACCACTGATGTATTTATTTTAGGTACCAGACCAGGCCGGGGTAAAAGTAATTGTGTCCCTTTCTGGATTAGCTGAAATCCTGGCTCCAATAAGCCAATTAAGCAGCAAACATGAAGAGAGGCTGAGGCACATTAGAATGACTTAATGGGGTGCGTATGTCCTTTTCGACAGCAGTATTTGATTAAGGCACTCTTGTTAATTTGCCATTCAGGATCTGCTCCTGCCACTTGGAACTCTGAGCCACTTAGGCTGAATCACAACAATTACAACGAGCAGACAACAAAACCGCCGAAGCCCTTCTAGAAGTGCATTAGCGCGATGGCAATCAAACGGAACCGTCAAAATGGATTTCAGAGGCGCGTTTCCCTCGACTCAGCCTTTTCCTAATGCTCCGTTAAATTCCCAGTTTAACAACATTTGGACATCTCCATCTGGAGTTCACAAACGGCTTCGAAGTTATGTGCCGGTAAACTCCCGCTGAAATCACAAGCAGTGATCTTTGAAACCATTTCTGTTACTGAAATATTTCATAGTGACCATGAAGCCACGCAGCTGGTGGATATAAGCTAAGCTGAAGGCATCAGCCTGGTGCTGGATTTCTACCAACATCTTTCCGGAAATGAGAGTCGTGTGGGGAAACTTTAGAACTTTTAAGAACTCTGCCGGCAGCGCTGGGAAACTTTGCCAAACATGTTAGAGCAGCTTGTGACTGCATGTCCCCAGAGTGGGTCACGTTTACCCCGTGCCGCAGCCCTCACTTTTTCCCACACCCTTCCCTGAAGCTCATCGCTAAGGCCTCGGTGCCAGCTTTCAAGTAAACATCTGTTCCGGCAACCGGAAAAAAAAAGGAGCAAAAAAGAAATCGACGGAGTCAGGACATCGCCTTAGAGCTACTTCACTCTGCTTCCTACTGTTCGCTAATTCACATGAAGATGGCTAACTGGTGGAAATGACACGGCTTGGCAGCGAAGCCACCACAAAGAAATACAACTGCTCCGGTATCAAAGGTCTGTCCAAGTCCACAAATAAACCCAGCTCAGCTGGAAGCAGATGGATTGCCGAAGCTTAACCACAAGACCGCGGTGATGTACTGTAGCATGAACGGATGAAACACAAACTGTTTTCAAGACGGGGCTGATCTGTGTTTGCTTTCGGCCTTCTCGGTTAAACAAAGCGCAAAGGCGAGAGAAGATTTTTTATTATTTCCAGAAGGATTACGGTTGCATTAAGAGCCCTTTGACCTTTTGTTTACTCTGGAAATTTTAAATGCTAGAAGGTGACAAGATATCACCTTTATCGCACTTAGTGACACACTTAGATAGACATAGAAGCAAACAAAGAGATTATTGGTCAAATGAATGAAACACTTTAACGCTGTCACATGAGCTGCTTTAGGATCAGCATCTTTCGTGTCTAACTGCAAACTTTCAGTGCATTTAAATGTTTAAATGCAGAAGCCTGTCTTGTGAAGAATATACTCTTTGATGCTGGAGTTTTATCAGATATACAAGGCTCTTCCCCGGCTTTCTGCTGATAAAGAGCGGAGACCGATGTAATCTGCCAGTGGACAGGCTGACAGAAATTTTGGCAGAAGCAATTCTGAACTCTAAGAGGAAACAAAAAAGCCACTTTTTAAAAAATTTTTAAGCCTTTCCCAAGAATTTCCAAGAATTTACTTGCTTTGAAACATACGATTATCACACATATCTCACTTAATAACACAAAAATGTCTAAAAAGCAGATCAAACACGGCGTGCTCATGTCATCATATGATGTCAGATAAATTGCAAACATGATTCTGCTGGTTTTCACTCCTACAGCACTGACCTCGTTTCGCTACCATCTCTCTTACCTTTCTTCAGTTGGACGTTGAACCTGCGACCTTTGTTCTTCAGGTCGATGGTTCTGGGGGCGTTTGTGCTTATCCTGCGCTGCAGGGAGGGCGAAGGGGCCGACGGGGTCCTGGAGATCAAAATGTGAGGTGGAGTGGCAAAGCGTCTACTCGAGTCTGGGGTGCTCCCTGCCAGTGAGCCATGGTGGCTACAGAGACAAGGGTTCAGAGTCGTTACGTGAAATATATATTCATCGTCAGGCTCCTGTAATGTGATGTATAACGCACGGTAATGACTTTTCACCATTAAATAATAACAGTATTTGTAGCAAGAACCTTTTCACCGGCACAGACGGAGGATTGATCGCTCTGTATAACTGACATTATGACCACAAACCCACATCTTTGTCTTTCTGGAACTAGGCCAGAGTTTTTACAACAATTAACAGAAACCACAGGCAGATAAAACAGGCTTTTGACAAGATGATCACCGACGCAGACTCAGAGGTCTAAGGTACAAATTACAATTAGGCTGCTCTCTTGTCTTTTTTTTTTGTGTAGCTTTTAAACTCCAGTGAAAGTCTTTGACTGCTGCAATTACAACAGCACTCCCTTTCACAGACATCAAATCTGTGGCAGCTTTTTAATTTTTCTTTGATTTATTGATTTCTCTTTGTTTCATGTATGAGAACAGTGTGAATGTATCTTGGGTAGAAAAAAGACTATTCAGTAACCATTCAATAAGAGAAAAGGGAGGTGAAACCCACTTGTGATTGAGGCCCGGTGGTTGTCCTGATCTGGGCGTCGGCGTCCCGGTCAGACTGGACCTGTCTGCTGGCTGTTGAGACGCCTGGCTGAAACGAACCCTGTTCAGCTGAGGTGGGCTGCTCAGCTCATTCTGCGCTGACAGCAGCTCGTATTGCTTCTTCATGGCTGCAGGGACCACGTGGAAAAGGATAACCTGGGAACGCATCGCCTGCTTGAAAATGTTCTGCGCTCTGAAGGTGAAACAACACAGAGCGAGGGAGAGAGCGGTAAGGTCACACAGACAGAAATGAATTAGCTCTAAACATGATAAGAGATACATGTACAATGATGTAGCACCAAAGCTCGGCAGATACAGAAGGATAAGGAAAGCCATGATGCGCTGTATGTTGAAAGGAGATACAGAGAGTTGAGGCCTGCGCGGCTAATCGCAGGACTACTTCCTGCAATGCATTATGGGGCAGAAATTACATTATCTATAATTACAAGCATCAAGACGGGTAAGAGATAAGGACAGTAAGTGGTGCATCAGTCATAAAATATTACTGCGTGTGATATAGGTTAAGTCTCTATGCAATGCGGCCATTTGTGTGTTTGTGTGAGTCTGTTCATGGTTGGAGATAAATGGTTATGAGTTGACTCAACAATCAGAACAGAGGTGATGAATCATGCACCGGGGAAGCTTTACAGACGATGAATTCCCAAGTAAGCAGACACACACGCAGAATTCACTCCTTAAACACAAAATGGGGCGGGAACACACAAACACAGAGTCTCGCATGAGTTTGGGGGAGGCCAAGAGCTCGCCATCATTCCCAGACACAAGAATTGTTTAGTCTGGTTTGCCAGCAGCACTTAGCATATAGATAGGCTGGCCAGGAGTGAGGCACACTGCAGCATAAGGGGGCCAGAGGCACCGTGGATGTCTGGATTCCAGCAATCCCATGTTCTTTTTCCAGCCCCCTCCCCATTACCGGCAATACCATGCTGATTCCGTCCCAATGACAGCCGCTAAGCCGCTTCCGCCGCAAACAGACAGCAATCCGCGCGAGCCGCGTCGCAGAGGCGAACGCGCGCCGAGCTACTTCTGCGAGATTTGCCCTCTCCTGTTTTCATTCTTATGGTAATTTGCGACAATCACTCGCATATGCGCACTGCAGGGTGATGACAGGCGGGGGCGAAGTTTGTGTGCGTGCATGCGTGCTTTGTACGCAAATGTTCCCGTGCACGTACGCGCCGCCATCACTCCAGCAATCAGCCTCTGCGCGAGCCGTGATTGAATAATAAATTACCCCCATCAATGCATCATTACATTCAGTTAGATTAAGCGCTTCAAAATATTTACCCATGCAAAACAATCCGAGAAGATTAGACTATCACTTTAAATTGTCACTCTCTGTGGCACACAATCAACGATGGGTGGGGGTGGGGTTAAAGTTTTGCTCCTTCGCCTCATTTTTATGCAACCCCCCCCCCGAAAACCAGCACAAACATCATAAGCGTGCAGATGCCGGTGAGGAGGGTGTGTTTGGAAGGAGAGGGTAAGCGTGGAACGCTACAAAACATCACTCCCTTGTGGATTTGGTGGGTAAGCTTCTTTCACAGCAGAAAAGGGAAAAAAAAGCTGTGAAAGAAACTGCGATGTTTACTAATGACAATAGCTTCGTTTTAAAGGATTCTGAAACCTAGTGGGTTTGTGTGCAGGGTGATAAACAGATTAGCACAGTGTCTCCAACTGCTTCCATTTAACAAGATGCTGGAGAGCTTTTGCTATCACGCCTTTCTTGAGAAACAATCCTACAGTGATACAGTTGTTCAGAGATAATTCATAGCTACTGACTTCACTTTTGAAGGCTTAACTTTCTGTCATTTCTGCAGCATTGTGGTTCAAAGCCCACTGTTTTTAGATGCGCAGGCCCAGTGCGATTGTTGTCTGGGCCTTTGGTAGCAAAAATCTGGGCTATTTCTTTCTGTGGAGAGCCAAACAGACCACTTTATACAGTGCCTCAATTCTTCAGCCTCGAGGAGAAGCGATCCATTTAATACTGGTGCACGCACACATACACAAGTGCAGAAATGCCTTTGTATGTCAGCATCACCGCATATATGTGTCCGCGTCCGTGCTGCGTGAGATGCCACACATTCACGCTTATGTTCACGAGTGTTTGAAGAGACAAAGGTTACGACGCGTCGGCAGAAATGAATGGAGAGAAGAGTGCGGATAGTTTGGGATCAGAAAGCAGCACAGCTGTGAAGGACTGCAGGTCACTGAGACCTGTTACAGGAAGGCCAACAAGTCGGTCGTATTTCTGTTTTATTGTGCGGCTGCGTGGGTGTCACGTCTCCCCGCAGTTTGGATTCCGCTTATCTACAGCAACACTATTTACTGTCGCTGCGCTTAATGTCCAACACAGCGCTTTCGGTGTGAACTGCATCACTCGGCAGACAGCGCTTCCCTACTATCGGAGGAAAAGGAAAATAAATTAAAATCAGCATGGCATCCAGCGACAAGAAGAGAGGTTACCAGAAGGAGAAAATGTCAGCTGACAAAAATAGCCGTGTTCAGAATAATACTGCGTGCAAAAAGAAAATGTTCCGAGCGTCACTATGGAAAGCTTACTGTTCAAAGCGCAGGTTGCGAATGTCTCCCTGATTAATTCTGACGATGCAGTCGTTCTCCTGGAAGAGACGCTCCTGCTCTGCTTTGCCGCCGGGCTCCAAACGCTTCACTAGCAAGCCCTGTGTCCTGCAAAGGTTCATGCAACAGGTGAGGGATAACACACGACTTAGGCAACGACTGTCACAATGAAATTGCACGTGTACTTTTAAAAGTTAATGAAACGGTAGAGAAGCCTAATCAGAATGGATGGAGTGGAGACAAGAAGAGAGTGTAGAAGAAGGTATAGACAAAGACACATTTAGGGTTTGAGGTATCACTTGAGAAAGCATCATGCTAAAAACAAATGTTGTTATTGCTATGTTTAGAAAAAGAAATGAAAGGTGTAGAACCCAAAGAACATCATCCACACAGTGAAGCTTGGTGGTGGGAGTATTATGCTGTGGAGATGCTTCAGTGTGAATCTTGTCACGATGAACAAAGTCATGAAGAAAGAAGGACATGAAGACCTTGAAAGAAAACCTCAAGCAGTCAGCATCAAAACTCTTTAAACGGTAAATGGACTGATTCTTATATAGCACTTTTCTACTCTCCCCGAGTACTCAAAGTTCTGTATATAACATGCCAATCACACCCATTCTCACAAGCACTGACCCTAAACTGAATGCTTTTCTAACAACATTCACACACGTTCACACTCCGATGGATGCATCGGAGAGCAACTTGGGGTTAGTATCTTGCATAAAACCCTGACTTGAATCCTATTGAAAATCTGTGGGGTGAACTGAAGACCTATGTACGTGCCAGAAGACCATCAAATCTGGCCAATTTTTCCAAAGAAGAATGGGCTAGGATTGCTTGGGAGACGTGTGAGACTTCCTAAAGACTACAACAAATGACTGCAGGCTGTTATCCATCAAACCGGATACAAAATTGACCATTTCCATTATCCTAAAACTAGGATGTTTCAGAAAAGCTGTGCTAAAATCTCTTGCTCTGTTTTGAAGCACTTGAGAAAATAGATTTTCAAAGAGGAGTCTGTCCTCATCTGTATGAAGTGAAGCTTTTTGTAGTACACCATTGACATTGGTTGTCATTTTATGGCCTGGAGATTTATAACTTTTGCATCAACAGAGTGCCTAAAATATTCAAGTCTCCAACAGAGTTGGGGAAGTAAATAAGATTACAAAATGAGTTTAGCCCATTGTAATGCACTCAATCAACAAAAGTTAACTTTGCAGACTAGGCTTGGATAGAGTCCTGAATTTCCCTGCATTCATTTTAAGCCTCCGTCTGTCCTTCTGTCCTTTCCTCTTTTTCTTCCTGTGGGCAGGTCTGAAAGAATGACAGGGTGGGTTGAAATAATCCAGACCAACAGCTAAGAGATCATCTTATGGCTTCCAGGGAAGTGCTACAGTCGCCTTCATTGGAGCTTAAAGCTAGAGCTGGCTGCGGTGTTTGAGAAAGAAAAAAAAAACCCCAAGGAGTTCCACGGCTGTGCCATCTCAGTAATCCTTAAAAAAAACGCCAACCTTTACCTTCAAATATCCCTCCGCCCTCCTTCCCCCTCTAAATAACTACATCAGTGAGCTCCTTGAGGGCTTTAGTTAGGCCTCGAGGATAACCACATGCAACGATATCTGATGGATGCTCACACAGCAGAGCTACAAACTCTGGCTACAAGGTGCAAGATGCCTCTGAGATAGCAGGTAAACTGACTTTAAATGTTTGGTGTCCTTGCATAAACTGACAAAAAAGTTTGGAGGCTTATTTTGAAGAAATTATGAAATCTACCGGAGCAAAAACCATCAACAAGCTAAACAAAGATGTACCAGACAGGGCTTATAAATTAGACCCTAAGCTACACCTTATTGGTGTCAAGGACACAAGTGTCATGCTTCTCATAATCCTCCCTTCCTGTCTCTTTTCCTGGACGCATAAACAGCAGCGCATTCAAAACTGTTGTGACCCTGTTTACTGCAGACGTCAAGGGCAGGCTCGCGCAGCTCTTTAGCATTTCAGCCAAACAGGGCCACTCTCAGAACATTGCTTTAATTGGCTGCATAATGTGGACATTCACGCTCGCGCCGAAGACTCATCTCAGCCACTCGGCGGGGGTAAATGGGTCGGCATTAAGTTGAAATTAAAGATCACAAAAGGCCCTTCCCTCTTTCTTGGTGTCTGAGTTGCCAGGTCAGGTTAAGTGTGTTGAGCAGAGAGTAATTGCGGCCGGCGTGGAAGCAGACATGATTGTGCTTTATCTCCATAAGTGTTGGCAGCTTGAAAACAAAGTATTGCGCGCGGAGATTACATCACGGACACACGCTAATGACTTCTGATTTGCTAGCAGACTGGAGACGGTACAGTAGATAAAGGAGTTTTTGGTTGATCCCTGATCAGTATTCAAGCAGCGGCAGAGCGGACTGGGGATAAAGCGGCGTCGTTTAGAGATTTAAAGAAGATGATGATTTCGTGAAAAGCACTATTATTGTGTTGGCTATAATCCCATCCTCTCAAACTGATGGAAGTTCGCTTCTTCTTCTTTTCTTTTTTTTACTTGTCAGTTACTCGTAAAGAACTAAAGCAAAATCTAAAAGTCACTCTCAAAGGCTGCAATTCATTAGGTGGCAGATGTAAGCAAAAAGGGATTTGTAGTGTGGATTCTCTGCAGCCTCTGGGGGGGGGGAAAGAAAGACTCTTTAAGTCTCGCTTCTCCTCGAAAAAAGGAATCAGCATCATACTGCACCATATGGCTTTACTCCATCTTGTGGCTGGGTAGCAGTGCTGATTTGGAGGAGGCCACCTGCTCTCATCTACTGCCTTTAATCAAATAATAATCCAATCAGGATCCATTTATGCATGGCAATTACGTCCGCAGTTTGTTTACAATTGAAGATGGTCATGGAATGAGAAGTTCATTAAACTAGGAACGCATCTGGAAGGGGGCGTGCGCGCGTGCGTAGATGTACGGGATATTTATGTGTGCACGTTGCTCTCAAGGTAGGTAAGTGACGATGCACCGACTGTTTTTGCTTGTAAAATTAGACGGCCTGAGTCTGAGAGGGAACATACTTCTCAAGGTCGGTCCGAACTGCTCACAAACTGCATTAGTGTGAGCTCATTTTCAGGTAAGTATCTGTGCATTTCAGTGTGTGTGTGTGGCAGGGAAAGATTCTTCCTGCTAGAGTGACAGTATCTAAGCTCTCTCCTACAGTTGTCTCCCCCTCCTGCTTGGATCTGACTTGATGTCAGTGCAGTGGAGCAGAATACGGGGGCAGCCCGATGCTGGAGTGCCTGCAGTTCCTTGTTTGCTGTCTGGTTCTGCTGGCAGTCTGACCCCTCTGGCCCTGGTCTAGACACTAATGACAGCCCGCTGAGCCTAATGCCTCCTGTCCCAGTGCACGACGCGCAGAAAGAGCTCGGACAGGCCATTAGCATCATCCCACTGACCAGACAATAAGTTTTATCATGGCTGAAGTTAATTGAAGGCTGTGATAGCTATTAGTGCCGACCTTAGCTGATGGGGAAGAAATTTACTGCCGGCGCAGCGTTAATGCTGTTTGCTCCAAGATGCTGTCTGATTTAGGGGCAATACAGGGGAGCTTAAGGACAGCAGTGCATCTAATGAGAGCTGAACTGCTTTAGTTCCTTTAGAAATCGTTCCCTCCGTTAGGCTCACCTCATCCTGAATCACTATTTTGCA